TTTATATGCCTTCTCCGGAGACTCAGGACGGTTTACAATGCGTTAAGCAATAGCCTTCATACTTTTGTATATTTATACAAAGTCAGCTTATTGCCCCCACAAACTGGGTTCTCATTTAACCTACCTTAGAAAGGATGGAAGGCTGAGTCAACCTTGAGCCTGGTAAGATTCGAACCTGCAGTAATTGCAGGCAGCTGTGTTAATAACAGGGTGCTTTTATTTTATTATTATTTTTTTATCATTTATGAATTAAATTTATATAGACACCCATCTCGCGGAAAGTGACTTTGAGTGGCGTACAACAGTCACACATGATTTGTGTGTGAACTTTGCATTTACTTATGATGTTTTTTCTTCCAGTATTTTAAATATATATGTTTTATAGCTAGTGCTTTACTTTGCATTGCAATTTACTTATTTCCCCTGTATTTTCATTATGCTTCTTATAGGTTGCTTCAAGTTCTTTTAAAGAAGAGATGGAAGTAAAGAAATAGATCAAACAAAAATAAGATATGTTTGAAAGTTGGGCATCTGCCATGGCATAACACCCCCTCCTGCCCTCAGCTTCTGAGCTGTAACTGTCCCAACAGGATTCATTTAGTAAGGTTGATGCAACACGATCTGCTCTGCAAAGGGTTGGGGGGGGGTCTTCACCTGAAGCTTAGTCTCTAAGCTGGCTTCTAGAGATACCTGGATTGGAAGGGTGGTTGTTGCACCTTCCCATCTTTGCGATTTTGCTCGATTCAAAGCCTCATTGAAGTGAAGGGCCCTTTTGAATCTCCCAGAAGTATGGGACTTCTGAGAAAGAAACGGTGAACTGAAGATGGCTCCACAAAAAGTGGGTCTGATGAGCCAATGAAAAATGGCTCTCTAATAATTCTTACCTGGACAAGGAGAGGACTTGAGATAGCCCACAGATGCTCCATACAGTTGCTTCTTGTAAGGAGATCTCAAGGCAGCAGTCTCCCAACAGGTTCAGAGCTCTGGAAGATGAGGGAATAACCCTCTTGATCACACTTGACTTGATCAAACGGTAGTCATTGCCTTTGAAAGGACACTAAGTTCTCAACTTTCTTTTCTAATTGGTTTTGGAAATGGATTGATAAGTTTTATAGCATCAGTTGAGTTTCCTTCAATCCTTAGCAAAAGGAATATTAACTAAGAATTTAAGACGTTTCTTTTAAAATGAGATTTTGGAATTCATTATAAAGACTCACACCCATAGGAAAATATTTTCTTTTAAAAAACACAAATAGATAAAGACTTTAAAAATGGGACACTAGAGGTAACTAGAAGGAACTAAAGATTACAATTAAAGGAGAAGAACATTCAAACTTAATTTATAAATGAAGCAAAACTTTTTAACATTGGACATATTGAAGGATATTTTGAACAATGGTTCCAGAAATTAGTGTATGCCTTTGTAGCTATAAAACATGGAAGAGGAACAAGTTCTATCTGACACAAATGAGACTGAGTTGAAGGTGATTTAAAAATAACAGTCTGCAAGAATCATGTGGAAAAAGATGTTACTTGTACATGCAAAAGAAGCTGGCTGATGTCTTAGTAATAAAAAAGAATATACAAACAACAAACCAAGAGTGTGAGTTGGATAATTTTTCTACATTGGATTCACAAAAGAAAATTGTTAAAGTTTCAAAGATTTTTGTGAGAAGGAACAAAGAAGAAATGAAAAGAAATATATAATATTACTTGATGACGTAATCTAAAGATCAAGACTGCTAGAAGTAAAAGGAAGGAATATAAAGCTGGTTTATTTGATTAATTTGGCGAAATACATATTTTGTTATCTCTGGTAATCCTTAATGGACTTTTGCTGACATTAGGACTGAAATGATGAGGTTTTATGGATTTGTTTATGGATAAAGGATGGGGTTTAGGAAAAATAGATCATATGTTGTATTTTAAGAGACGGTGATAAATATCTAAAATTAATTGCACTTGAGGATGGGAAGTTATTTCTTTATATAACTCTTTTTCTTTACTTTCTTTTTCTTTTTTTCTTTTCTATTTCTTTTTCTCTTTTTCCTTTCCCCCCCACCTTTTTCTTTTTTTTAGTATTGGTTTTCGTTGTTGTAATGACAATTCTTGATAAAATTGCTATAAAAATATCTCCCAGCAGCATGACCAATATGTCTTTATATAAGTAGGTTGTGATAACTGCCTGTTCAAATGTAGGTAGTACTTGCTTAGTGACCTCAATTGGGATCATTAATTTTATTGTTAAGCAAGCGTTGTAGTCACTAAGGGAAATATCATGCATCTGACATACTTACAACATCACTTTGGATTCGGTTGTTCAATAAGTCATTGTTAATCAAAACATTACGTGAACATAACTCATAGTTGTAATCCTGGCTTTTTCATTCACTCTGGTTGTTTGAAGCTGGTTGGAAGTCTATAAATGGCAGCCACAGGACCTTGGGATGCTGCAAAGATCATAAATGCCTGCTGATTGCAAAATTGTGACTCCTAGCCTTTGGATTATTTTTCACCCTCATAGCCTTCTGAAAGGGCCTGAAATCTTGGCTTTGTCAACTGGGTTGTGGCCCTAATGGAACCATCCCATTTTGGAGGTGGCTAGCAGACTAGTACATGATCTCACTTTCACTCAGTCTATATATTGGTTTTTTTATCCATTTTAATATTAATTTTTAATATTTTAACTTTTAATGTCTAATGTTTTATCCTATAATTGTTTTGTTGTGCTATTTATGGTTATTGTAAACTACCCTGAGTTCAATGGCAGAGAGATGGGCAGCATAAACTTTTCATAAATATACAAGTCTTGATCACATGACCATGGGGATGTTGCAATAGTCATAGGTGTGAGAACTGGACATGTGTTACTTTTTCAGTGCTGTCATAAATTCAGATAGTCACTAAACAAGGAAATTGTTAAACAAGGTCTACTTGTAATGCAATATTCAATTTAGTGTGATTATAAATTGATACCAAGTTGTATTTAATCCAAGCCAAAATTCACTTAATTCAATGCTAGTGCATGCACAAAACAGTACAAGTTTAAAAATTGTTATTAAATATAAAGTAAAGGTTCCCCCACACATATGTGCTAGTCGTTCCCGACTCTAGGGGGCAGTGCTCATCTCTGTTTCTAAACCGAAGAGCCAGCGCTGTCTGAAGACGTCTCTGTGGTCATGTGGCTGGCATGACTAAATGCCGAAGGTGCACAGAGTGTTGTTATCTTCCCACCAAAGTGGTCCCTATTTTTCTACTTGCATTTTTTACGTGCTTTCGAACTGCTAGGTTGGCAGAACCTGGGACAAGTAACGTGAGCTCACTCCATTATGTGGCACTAGGGATTCGAACCGCTGAACTGCCAACCTTCTGATTGACAAACTCAGTGTCTTAGCCACTGAGCCACTATGTTAAAATTGTTATTACATTTGACCAAAAAATTGATGTAATTGAATTATGTGATTGTGGTCATAGCAATGCTAAAATAGGACAAGATGTTGGATTGATGGAATCTATAGTTGATTTTTTTTTTTGCTTTCTATAAGTACACTATGACTTTGTTAATCATACATTTAAATTTTATGTATGTTCTTTGTATAGAATAGGAATAGAATAGAATAGAATAGAATAGAATTAGAATTAGAATAGAGTAGAATAGAGTAGAGTAGAGTAGAGTAGAATAGAATAGAATAGAATAGAATAGAATAGAATAGAATAGAATAGAATAGAATAGAATAGAATAGATTTATTGGGCAAGTGTGATTAGACACACAAGGAATTTGTCTCCAGTGCATAAGCTATCAATGTACATGCAAAACAAAAAAGGAACAATAATAATAATAACAAAGGATAATCATAATAATGATACCAATGGAGAAGGTAGTGAAACAGATGAGAAGAATAAAACTGTGGAAAAAGAACTCTTTATTATAACATTTCATTAGTATACATATAAAAGTTTAGGTTAAAAAAATTTCAGTGCCCATTTCCATTGAGCTGAAACCAGTTATATTTTCCATAAAAATATCACTTCAGATAGTGCAAATTCAAATAATGTGACCAGTTTGTAGAATTCATGAACTGTATTAATTGAGAACTACTGTACAATTATAAACATTGCAAAAACTATCCCTGAATTTTTGGATTCAGTCCTTAAGAATAACAATGTTGTTGTTTTATGTGGAAACATCAAATTTTGTAAAAAAACCCAAAACCCTGATATTTTAGTTAGGCTTTTTTTTTTTTAAAAAAAAACCCCCCCAACCCCCCCCCCCCCACCCCCGGGAAGTTGTGAAGACATAACCAAATTTACCTTGGGCCGTCAGACATACATAATGTTTTGAAGATGCAGCATGCTGAGGAGGATATAAATGAAGCTAAACTGTAGCACAGTTGCATTATGGTTTTTTTTTCAAAATAAAATGATCAGTGGAAAATTCAGTAGGGGCGGCTGATGGGTAAAAAAACCTGAAGGCTGGGAAAATTGTAACTCGGTATAAAATTTGCAAGGCGCTTGGGAATAAACCTACATCCTTATTAGGATAATTGTCCTGCTCCAAAATAGAAGTCCGCACTGATTGAAAAAGAACAGTATCAAGAATCCATAATACAAAGTCGGAGGCTGAGCTGTGAAATCAAATTCTCTCGGTTATTTTGTCTTTTTCATGTGGCCTCTGCCCTTACGTTAAATTACTCCAAACTTTAAAGAACGATGTTGATGTTTTTGTTGTTGTTATTCATCATTCCTAGCTACAACTCACCTTCGCTTTTCTGCTGGTAGGAGAGTCAAGAAAATATGACAAAAGAATACTTTGTGCATTGACATCAGAGGGGAAAGAAAATACTCTTGGAAAATTTCATGCTGCTAAATCTCCACAGATTTACACTTTTATGCAGTCAAATTAATGCAAAACCCCCAACGTAAGGGTTTGCATTTTGAAAATTTGGGAGGAGTGTCATTCCATAATAGTAATTATTGGTTTTATATTATTTTTTCACAGGGGAACTGATCACAGCTGCCTATGAGCTTGGAGTGAGTATTAGTTGTATTGTTTAATCAATGCTCTCATTAACAGTTTTAGGAATTAAGGAAGTTTAATTAAGCATGGAGTTAAAGTAGATTAATATATTTTCAAACCACAGTTTTTCTAACTTATAAGTACGGCACACGACAATTTACTCCAAGTTTTAAATCCAATTAAACTAAATTATAAAGTAAAGGCTTTACTGTATATACAGTAGCTGGCTTATTATCAATCCAAATTTTGTATAAGCTGGAGAGAATAAAAATAAATCGGGTTAACAATTTTAATAAGTTTTATTATTCAATAAACTTTATTAAGGCGCATGATCCCCTTTAGGCAAAACCTTAAGGACTGTCATCACGGTGGTAATCCGATAGCAGTGTGGTCTTTCAACTTGCTAACCAATAAAATAGTTCAGCATCTGTTTTTTCCCTCTTTTCTCTCTTTTATAATTGTATAATAAAAAGAAACCCAGCCTTTTGAATGGCCGGAATACATGCTGAATCCGACTTCAAGCCATTTAAGGGATAATAGTAATATGTGTCACCACTTTTTAAAGTGATCTGCTCTCATCTATTTTTTGTGCATCCACATATGTTAAGGCAAACATTTTGCGGTATTTAAAATTAGCATTCAACAGAAGTGTGTGTGTGCGTAAGAGAGAGAGAGAAAGGGAGAGGGAGAGTGCTATGCTTTTTAAGGCATAGTACTCTTATCTGTTTATGATTAAGCTAATAAGAAAGCCATTTCTCCATTAGAGTGCCATTGTGACATCTCAAAACAGAAGCCTTTTGTTTGTTCACAGGTTGCTCATCCTCCGGGCTACCCTCTCTTCACTCTTTTGGCTAAACTGGCCATTGAGCTTTTTCCCTTTGGTTCTGCTGCGTATCGTGTCAATCTCCTCTGCGCCTTGCTGGGGGCAGCTGCAGCATCGCTTCTGTTTTATACAGTTGTCAGGTACAGTAGATCCTATGGATGCTTTCCAACTTTATTTATACACACACACACTACTGGATTGCAGACTGCATCATATGCAATATATTCTGTGAATCATCCTTACGTTAAATCAAACCTATTGAGTGAAATATCGTCATGGTATACCAGAAAGGATATTTTTTCTGTGATACAATATTGCAGTTAGATGTAAAAGTTCATAATAATTTGATGGCTTTCATATCTAGTGGGCCATTAAACTAGCAGTTCCTACGGCGTTGGCTCCAGGCTGTTAATTGATTCAACTGCCTACTGTTTACATAATTTCAGTTGGCCATTTGACATTGAATTTACCGGGAAAAAAAGAAAAAGAAAAAAAATATGAAACACCCAGAGCACAAAACTGCCAAACTAATTTATTTCAGGAGAGTGATAACATTGTTCTCTCTTATTATCATACATCAGTGACCAGGTTTATCTAACCAGAAGTAACGAAGTTTGTCATTAAAGAAAGATGCAGATGGCTTTAAAATATTAAACAATACAAGTGTCAACTGTACTGACAAACTTTTTAATTGTTAGCATTACAAAATGGAGGCAGATGCCTCTTGATGGTCTTTATTCTGTCTGTTTTACCTGTGTTGAATACAATAAGCAAGAAGTGGTACTGACTGAACTGCACGGAATTAAATTAAAAGATGAGAATTGTGGTGTGGAAAAAACCCCACAGATTACGACTATGTAGCTGTGTGAGCAGGATTGTTGGACATTATCACCAAATCTGCCCTTTTCTGCATCGGATGCTGTGTTCTAAGCATACAAGAACATAACAAACGACTGGTACTTTGTTACTTTTGCCCATCCTTCTGTCTTCCGATCCTCATACGAGGAGGTTTCTTTGCATACTACCCCTGTTTCTTCCAAAATAAGACATCCCCTGATAATAATCCCAATTGGGCTTTTGAGCACATGGCAGTAAGGCCAAGCGCTTATTTCAGGGTTCAAAAAAATATAAGACAGGGTCTTATTTTCGGGGAAACACGGTATTATAATTCCTGATAAGGATAGCTTTCTCCAGAGTTTGAAGGCCTCTCTTATGCTCCTTTCATTTGTATTTTGCATATGTGAGAGATGATTCTCTATGCTTTAATTCAGCAGAGCAGATGCAGGAGTGACTTTTCACGTTATAGTTGGGGATGACCTGTGACATATATACCAGACAAAACTAAAATTGTTCAAGTGGAGCTCACATGCCTGATGACATGGCGGTTATAGTGACATGTCTTCCAGGCAGACTTGACTCCTGGGGGTAATGTAGATAAGTCCATGTACTTTTCTAGGCATCATTTTTGAAAGTGATTTGCCACTGTTGTCTTCTTGGGTCTGAAAGAATACTCCATCATCTAGTTGCTTTGTGGCTAAGGTGGGACTAGAACTCAAATTTCCTTGCTCCTAGTCCAGTGCCTTACCCACTGGTGCAAACTGGCTCTCTGACTACATGGACACATCTGTGTGTGTGTGGGAGGGAGGTTGGGTAACAGTAGAAAACTGGATTCCTTAGTGATCTTCTATATAAATACTAACTGAGTCCAACCCTATTTAGCTTTAAATTTAGATCAAATTTGTTTGGGTCCACCTAGATGGAATGGGCCACAGTTCACAGTGAAATATCTTTCTTTAGTAACTTTAGCAGCTGGTTGTCTCCTGAATAACACTGAGTGGCTTATGTTATCAGTCTGATAGTAATAATATTGTAGTACTGAAATGTTCACAGGCTTTAATTGCATTGCCTGACTGTGAATTGTATAGCAGCCCTGCAAACTACAGTTGTGCTAGTATGCCCCTTATTTCAAATGGGGAAACTGAGGCTAGGTGAGACAGCCTTGCCTAAGTTACCCTACTGAATTCTTTGGGAGGTGATATTTGAATGGAGGACTATATGACTTGCCAGTGTAATTATCTGTGTGCATTCTGGAACCATATGGATTATGGATTGGTTAGGAAAGACAGATAAAACTGAACCCGTGTACAAAGGTTGGAGATTCACATGCAAACCCCAAGTAAGAGAAGCAGCTCCTTTGTGATTAACTGTGAAAAGTATGTTTTATTTGATATAGTGAACATTTTAGAACATTTAGGTAGGGGTACACTAATGACTTGAGGGCAGTGCCCTTCAATGATTAGGATACCCCAAAATTCCACTCCAATCATTTTCCAATATTTAATGGAGAACTAGATTGTTTTGCAGACATTAAAGATTATTACCACATAAAAATTATTCTGAAAGCATTCAAAATACAGGAAGCTCAATCGTTTCCCCATTCTCCCCCTATTCTGTAATGTTGGAAAATATTTACTTTTATATAAATACATTGGTCTTAATTAAGGGATTGCAAAAACCTCTTGGGCAGACTTTCTAATCTTATTTAGAAAATACAGTTAATCGTTGCAATAATCCCATTTTATGGGTTGGGAACTGAGGCTGACAGATACTGCGTTGCCCAAGGCCAGTCTGAAAAAAAAAATGTTCTTGGCCAATTAACGTCCAAGCGTTGAGTTGCCACTGTCCACACGCCAACACACTGGGTCACCCTGGCGGTTATGATAGGTTTCAGTACTTTTGTGAAAAGATGAAAATAATGCCCCAACAATGCCTGGGAATATTTTGAGAGGAGTCAGATTTCTCAATTATTAGGAGGAAAAATATGTATGATAATAAAAATCCCATGGTGCATAAGAGATAGGCTGGAATTTCTCAGGAAGGTGGATGCTGCCTCTAAGTAGAGGGATGGGAAGAGTTAGGGGTCTTTGAATGTTCCTTATTACACACACATCCTTTTTGATTGAATAAGGATTAGCATCTCGTGTAATGTTAATTTGAAATCCAAACCTGTCCTGTATTTGCCAAGCACTCTTGCGATCTTTGTTAAAATTAATGCAGGGCGAGCGGGGAAGATGGCTTGGTGGAGGGTTTTTTGATTTTCTTTCCTTGGCTGGGTTAAATGCTTTCCATACTGCCTGCCTGCAGGGAGAACTCTCTTCAGTCCCTTATTTGCTTAAGTACACTTCCTTAAGATTTTATGAATAGGACTTCCCCTATCAGATAATTCATCCTTAACTAATTTTCAGTGTACTGTAGTGCAAAGAAAGAGGGTTAAAAATAATAAAAGGCCCCAAAGCTTTTGAAGGAAAATATTTAAAGCAGAAACTCTCAAGGCAACGATGCTTTTTGTCAGTTAGTAACAGCATTGAGCATATATGTTAGAGAAGAATAAATAACGGCTCACGTTCCATTAGTGGGCGTGATGATGGAGAAATCGCATTGAAGTCATTTAAATTAATCTTTAATGCATTCCAACTAATACTGCTCCTTGAAGCGATCCACCTTCGTCCTTCACCTTTTTTAAGTTCACAGGCTGAAACCTTGCAAAGGAATGGCATTGGAAGGGGGTAATTTTTGTTGCATTTCAGTTGGTTCATGGGAGGTGAAGAAACAGGCAAATTAATTGGGGGGGGAGTTTAAAAATAGTGCCATTAATATTTAGTTATACCTGCATCATGAATGCAAAGCTGTACAAAACTGGAGGCATATTTTAAAGTTGTAGAAGAAAATAGTAGTTTCCTTCCTTCCTTCCTTCCTTCCTTCCTTCCTTCCTTCCTTCCTTCCTTCCTTCCTTCCACCAATTACAAAGATAGGCTAATACGTATGCATCTACTGATTTTCTGGGAGAGTTTAGAGTTCCTGATTTGGAGGTGGCACCATTTGTTGGCCTGATTTTGTGTTATGCTGCATCTGTGAGTGTGTTTGTGTCTGAGAGAGCGAGAGAGAGAACGGTGGGGAGGGGGAGAAGGGGTGGGGAGGGAGAGAGACTTTAAAACCTTCAGAACTAAATATTTGTGCATGCATTTTTGATTTTGAGGGCTGGAAATATTCCCTTCCAGCAATGTTTGCTGGCTGTACTGTGAGTTTCAATGGTTTATAGATCATGCCAACTCTATGTGCTGCTGCAAAGGAATTTGCATTAACACTATAGATGCTTAAATATTGCTAATATATTTTCAGATTTGGTTGTCAAATCTGCCTTGAGATGGCAGCTGCTATTTGCACGCACATTGCGATAATCTCTTCTTAAATAAATAAAAATTCAAAGGACCTTCAGGTTTCTTTGGAATGGCTCAACCAGTTTGTTTTCAATGTCTGAAGAGTTGCTTCCTTTCCTCTCTACTTTAATGGTTTAGACAGATCATTTTAACTGGAAAAAATTCACTGGGGTCTAAATATCCTGGGGCAAATTTATAGACCTCAGACATTCCTAACCTTTACATGAGGTAAATCCCCCCAAAAGACTTGAAAGGTTCCCCCCCACCCCCGGGTCCATTCTGTATCCCGATAGATGCTGTGAATATGGATGGTCTCTCATTTTTTAAAAAAGATGCCAAATCATAAAGGATGCATCCTTCAGGAACAATGCAGTTCAAGTGGGAAATCTGTTGTCTCATCAAACAATACAACCCCCTTCAGAAAGGAACAAGCCATCTCTATGGCAATTTGTGGAGAGAGTGGCCTATTGATTCAGTGGAAGAAGACATTATACAGTGTCACTCGGGGTTGTTACAATTTCATTTGTCGGGTGACCTGAACTTAACCTTCTAAAAACCTTTTCTTCTTTGTACATAACACCGTCCTCGTGGGTTTTCTGCACCAACAGTGGAGTACAGTGAGGAATTACAGCTGGGCTTGTTGTGGGTTTTGTTTCTTAAACAAACCGCCCCTCCCGACGTACACATTTTCTTCATTTATGCTCTATGTAAATCAGTTTCTTGTAATAGATTTTGCTCCTTTTATTGGCATCTGCTTTGAGACATCTCTTAAGTTTCATGTTGTTTGCCGATCACGATAATTTCATTTTAATGTTTAATTGGGCGACACTCCTTGTAGTTTAATTCATTCCCGCTTAGGAGGACATTGTTCTACATGTGGATTAGTGTTAAGTGAATTCTGACACTTTGTTCTTCTAATCAGA